GGCTCACTCCTTCACTTCCTTCATGTTACCCTGACCATCTTACATAAAATACCCACTCCTCGCTTTACCCTACCCTCCCACTCCAACGCAACCAGGCACCTCCCATCTTCCTTTCCCTGCTCAACGTTCCTTAATCACCTGATATAAAACATACGTTATTTACTTACATATTATTTGTCTCCCTCAACTAGAATGAATGCTTCATGAGATGGATCTGCTTCCTATAACATGCCTGGCACATACAGACCACTCAATAAATATTTATTTAATGAATGAATGATTATCTAAACATACATACATCCCTACATGGTCAACCACAGAAACACAGAAAAAGAGACAGTCAAAAGAGCAAGTACAGACTCTGCCCAATCAAGCAGAGTCCAGAAGAAAAGGAAACCTAGCCAAGAGCACTTTAAACGTTCAGGTCCCGGTCAGGCGCGGTGGCTCACGCCTGTAATCCCAGCACTTTGGGAGGCCGAGGTGGGTGGATCACCTGAGGTTAGGAGTTTGAGACCAGCCTGACCAACATGGAGAAACCCCATCTCTACTAAAAATACAAAATTAGCCAGGCGTGGTGGAGCAGGCCTGTTGTCCCAGCTACTCAGGAGGCTGAGGCAGGAGAATCACTTGAATTCCGGAGACAGAGGTTGCAGTGAGCCGAGATCACACCACTGCACTCCAGTCTGGGCAACAAGAGTGAAACTCCATCTCAAAAATAAATAAATAAATATTCAGGTCCCTATGGTAGACTGATTGATTGATTGATTGATTGATTGCAAAAATGTCCCAATTCTTCCCCTCCCTGTATCTATGCATTTTGTAATGTGACTATGTAGCTCCTTCTATCAAGAAGTAGAGTCTATTTTCCTAACTTTCCACTCTGGGCTATCTTGTGTCTTAATTTTGTCATTAGACAAGGATAAAGTGATGGAGTGCCAGTTATAAGCTTAGGCCTCAAGAGGCCATACAAGTTTTCACTTTCTCTTGGCCTCCTGCCACTACCATGTGAACATGCTGAGCTGGCCTGCTGGAGGATGAGTGACCACACGGAGCAGAGCCAAGTCATCCAGCTGAGGCCATCCTAAAGCAGCCAGCCCTCAGACACTCCATCGGCAGACCAAAATCACATGAGCAAGCACAGCTGAAATCAAGCAAGCACAACTCAGATCAGCGGAACTACCCAGCCAACCAAAAGACATGAGAGAAAATAACAAATGGCTGTTGTTTTAGGCCACGAAGTTTAGGGGTGGTTTGGTCTGTAGTCCCTTTGGCAAGATTGGCCCTAAAGCATGTAACCAGTTCCTAGGGTAGGCATCTAAGCTGCTTTGCTCTGAATAATGTGCTTTAGGAGACCTTCTCCTTGTGATTTGGCTGTTATGACAGGGGTCTATAGGAAGAAGACCCACTAACCAAGCCATACAGTGTCTCAACCACTGCAAATCAATATGCTGGCATGCAGGTGAACAAGGTCACTGTGATGTGGCCCGGAAAGACAGATCAGGTTTCTGAGGCAGCAATACTAAAAGCCGGATCTTGGATGGGGGAAATTCACAGAAGTAAATGTTGCCTTCTGAGGTGGACTTGGGGACACCCAGTCAGACTCTCTGACCTTGACCCAGCCTCACCTCATTCTATTTCACAGAAACTTTGACTAGGTTCTCAGGCATCCAGCTCCATTTCTGGCCATGGAACACACTGCAGTAGCCCTTCTGCACCAAGGACAGCTGAGTGATTAGGCTCTCAAATCCCCAAACCATGTTTTCTCTAGAGTAATAAAGTTTCCAAAGGGCAGAGCAGCAAACTGATCTTTATGTTAAGCCCATAAGACAGAGGCTTTAAATAAATTTGCCATATGATATTATGTAAATGCATTCCATGGTCACTGAAGGTCAGCATATTTCCAGATGATCCCAACACTTTTCCATGATCATAGAAACTCTTCTCATGCTCAAAGAAAAAAGAATATCTGGCAAGGACTGCTGGCCTGTTTGCTAAAGATGGCCTTTTCTTTTAGTGTAGGGGAAAAGAAACAAAAAATCTTAATACTAAGATTCAAAAGCAGCACAAACATGGTCCTCCATTCGGATGGGAGAAACCTGAATGCTGCATTGCACAGTCTCCTTAATTCCTGTGCTTCCTGTTGCCTTGCAAAGACCTATGCTTTCTGCTTGCTGCATTCATTTACGCTCTGAATGACCACAGGTACTGATGTCTACCAACCAACCTTCTTCTAAACACAGAGTTTAGGATTTCATCCAATTCCTTAAACAATAACTCAGCACATACATCATAGTGACAAATAGGAACCCTAAGAGGCAATATCTCAAAGACCTGCCGTATTGCCCTTATGACCTCAGCTCCTACTGCTGTCCTGGTGTCTGACTCAATAGCAGCTTCTGCGACCTCCTTTCTGGGTCTCTTGGGAACACACCTCTCTCCTGTCTCAGGGTTTTGCAGGTGCTGCCTACAACCCCTGGTTTTCTCCCTCACTTCCCCAGATGTCTGGTCAAATGTCATTTACCAGAATCCCTGGCTTCCTCCCTCACTTCCCCAGATGTCTGGTCAAATGTCATTTACAAAAAAGCCTTCCCTGGCCAAGCTGCATAAAAGTAAATAACAAGCCCCACCCTGCCCTCTGGCAGCACTCCCCATTCCTCTTAGCCAGCTTTATTTTTCTCCATTACAATGTCTCATCAGCTGATACACTCTATATTTATTTATTTGTCCATCATCTTACACACACACACATACACACACTCATTAATTTAAGCTCCTTGAGAGAGGGCTTTTTTGGTTGTTTTGTCTGTATTTTCCATACATAGAGCAGTGACTGATACATAGTAGGAACTTAATGAATGAACTGCCATTGCTTGAGCACCTACTTTGTGCCAAGCAAGTTATATATGATGATAGGGTAACAATGAGTAAATATTTTAAAGTATCTTTTCTTTAACTATTATAAGAATCCTATTACTGTCTCCATTTTACAGATCAGGAAACTAATGCTCAAAGAGGGGCTAAGTAACTTGCCCAAGACACTCACCTAGGTCTGTTTGAGCATCCACACTTAACGCTTCTTACAGTGCAGGCTGCTTTTCAAACACCTTAGTGATGATGTAGGTGCATGTAATGCACATCTCTGGCAACTACACAATACAAGAGCTTTTCATTCTATCATTTTTCTTCACCCATCACAGTTTTGGTCCAGGAAGAAACATCCTTGAGACTGGATTTTCATCTCCCAGAGACGATTGGTAGTAACAGCTTTAGCTTTCCGTTATTCCACCTATTTAGGGATAATCAAGGGAGAGTTTTCCTTTCGAACTGGACTGGTACAAGAACAGATAGGTCAGGGATCCAGGGAGAAGCAGACAGAAGTTCATCTGCTCTGAAACTCCCTCAGAATTTTCCAGAGTCCCTACCTTTGTGAAGTGCTGCTTCAAAACCTTTATAGTCCTGGAATTCAGGAAAGCCATTCATTAAAAAAGGAAAAAATTAAAAGTCTGACTTGTATTGCATGTGCTCCTCTCTGGGTGTCTGCCTGTGTCTACTGGGTTCTAGTCACGTACTGCAAATATCAGCCCAGCCGAGACTTGTAAAGCTCTGCCCACCCACTGGCAGTGATGGCAATGGTGTGGTAGAGTCATGTGGGTCACTCCCAGACCGAAGGACCAAGAGAGCGACCCAGTCCCTGCTGAAATCCATGTCATGCCTAATCCATGAGGGCTTCATTTTTATACCAATCACTGCCACTATCAATTTCCTCCTCCTCTCTGCTCTCACTGCTCTTTTCCAACACCATCATGAACTTATCCACCTCCTGATTATAAGTGCTTCTCCCCCTACCAGGTGTGAACTTCAGGGAGCCAGGACTTTGTTATCATCATCTCTGCATCCCCACGGACTAATCCCATCTCTGACAAATACTAAGTGCTCAGTAAGTATTTGCTGACTCAAGAAAGATGCAGCACGAGACTGTACCTACTTCACTGACTGGAACAAGCAGAACAAGTCACCTCTTCTGGAAAGGGCAGGAAGCAGAAATACAGAGGAGATCAACATAGACCAGCACCACCGCTGAGCCGACTACAGTGCCCAATCCTCCCCCATGCACCCTCCTCACCCCTCACCTGCCACTGTCTGAGCCCAAAACCACCCACATTCACCTCCCCAAGGGCTAGAAAGGAGCAAGCATCCCCCAGCGTCCCACCCCACCCCACTGGGGCTGCTCTTATCAGAGCCCAAGACATCGACGTTAAGTTACCCTTAAACGGAGTAATTTGCATCTGTAATTTCCGGATAAAGGAATGTATTTCATCAGCCCTGCTGAACCCTGGACAGCAGAGATTTCTACCACCCATCTGCCGAAGACACAGCAGTGCCTTGCTCCTCCCTGGCTAAACGCATTTGCTAGCCCATCCCTGCAAAACAAGTCATGTTCTTTCCCTTGCGCTAAAACCCGTCCATAAACAAATCCTCTCTGTGTCCCTAAGAAACGGCCCCCACGCCCACGGAGGGCGCCCTACACATGCAGAAATACACACTCACAAACCCCAAGAGCCACCAGGTGTAAGCACGTTTGAATTCTGTTCTTTAAGAACAAACGAACAACAATAACAAAATGCATCTACTAGAATGTAACTGAAACTAAAAGCAGTGGCTAGGAAGCTTATGGAAACGGAGCGATAAATGCCAGCAGCCTGACATTTATAAGTTGAAAAACTACTTATGGCGCTAATAGTTCAAACAGGGTTTAAAAACAGCCCTTGGGGAGGCCGCTTTCAGAGAAGCGCACAGCTCCAGGCAGCGGGCAAGCCCTTGCTTTTCTGCGCCGGCTTCCCAAGACTCTTTGGTCTTTTGTGCCATTTACTATGAACAGCACTCAGCGGTGCGAGCGTGTATATTTCAGGCCAGGCAGAAGCGCCTGGGAGTCCTGGCGCACGCGGGGTCCGCGCCCCGGCTGGGTCGGTTGCACCGCAGCGAGCAACGCCGTCCCCTACCTGGGTGGGAAATCCGCTGGCGGACGCCTCCGGATGCAGGCAGAGCAGCTTCCACCCCGGTAGCCCCGCGTGCAGCTCCGGCTAACGCGGCGCTGGGCGATCCGGGCGGAGGCAGTAGCCGGCCGGTGTCACACCTGCATCACCGCCCCCACGCCGCCGCCGCCAGCCGCCCAGGCGCAGCGCGCAGCGCGCAGCGCGCCCCCGCACTACAGAGCACCCGGGGCGGGAGGCTCCTGGGTCCTCTATTCAGCGGGATCAGATCCTAACCCGCTTTCTTCCCGGCCTGGGCATTAAAAGTATTCGCTGCGGACAGCTCTGCTTCTAAATCCCCTCTGATCCAAGGCTGGGTGTGGAGATAGCTCAGAGGGAAGGAGGACCAGTGAGGCCGCAAGGTCTCCGGATTTGCAGACTAATAGATATTAAACTTCTTATTCCTCGAGTTTTGTAACCAGCTGATCATGGGCGTCGTCTCGCTGTCTCCACCCCGCCTAGGGCGAGGGGGCGCTGTGGACTCCACATGCCCTTCCACCCACTCCGAACTAGGATGCGTCAGAGGACTAGACGCAAGTTCCCGGGAAAGGGAATCCTCTGATCACGGCGCCCCCAAAGTATATACTTTGGTGCTGCTCAACTGCTTTGTTTTCGTTTGCCTCATCAGGAACTGAAAAGAACCTACCTGACCAGCGCGGGGAGGAGGAAAGCCTGCGAGGCTTGGTGCATTCAAACAAGCCCTCCACCTCTTTCTCCCTACTTCCAAACCACCACCCACTAACTCCACTGACGAGAGTTCAGCAAACTAAACTGCCAAGGCTCAGCACCGAAAGGCTCTTTAGGAGAATAGGGTTCCTTCTAGGAGGAAGTGAGGAGCAAGGAAAGGACACTGGAAATTCGGACGCGGGCTCAAACAGTACAACACCGCAGATGCCTGGCCCGCTCCAGGATCCATATCATTACATGTATCAGTAGGTCATTTTTTTCTTATTGCTGAATAGTGTTCTATTGCCTGAATATAACACAATTTATTTATCCTTTCTCCTATGAGTGGACATTTGAGTTGCTTCCAGATTTTAGCTGTGATGAATAAGGCTGCTATGAACGTTTTTTTTTGTTGTTGTTGTTGTTGTTGTTGTTGTTTTGAGATGGAGTCTCACTGTGTCGCCCAGGCTGGAGTGCAGTGGCATGATCTCAGCTCACTGCAACCTCTGTCTCCCGCGTTCAAACAATTCTCCTGCCTCAGCCTCCCAAGTAGCTGGGATTACAGGCATGCGCCAACAAGCCTGGATAATTTTTGTATTTTTAGTAGAGACAGAGTTTTGGCATTTGGCCAGGCTGATGTCAAACTCCTGACCTCAGATGATCCACCCACCTCAGCCTTCCAAAGTGGTGGGATTTCAGGTGTGAGCCACGGCGCACAGCCTGCTATGAACATTTGATAGACATATGTACTATTTTCTTTTGAATATGTAACTAGGAATAGAGTTGCTGGGTCACAAGATAAATACCTGTTTTTGCCTTAGTAAATAGATACAGTACTTTGCCTTAGTAGATACAGTACTACCAAACAGTTTTCCAAAGTGGTTGTGGCAATTTACAGTCCTACTCCCATCGGCAATGTTTGAGAATTCCAGATGTTCTATTTCTTTGCCATAACTTGGCATTATCAGTGCTTTTAATTTTAGCCATTCTTGTGTGTAGTGTAAATTACATTGAAATTAAAACTTTGATATAGTTTTAATTTGTATTTCTTGATGATTACTAATGTTGAGCAATTTCTTATGCTTATTGGCCATTTGGATATTCTTTTGTAAAGTTTCAAGTCTTTTGACCAATTTATTGGTTTTTTTGTCTTTTTCTTACTGATCTGTAGGCACGCTCTCTGTTTTAGGTATAAATCCTTGGTTGGATATAATAGTTCTAATATCTTCTCCCTGTTTGGGGCTTATATTTTTATTCTTTTAATTTTAATGAAACACAACATTAATTTTTTCTTTTGTGATTAAAAGATGACTGCTTTTGTGTGTTTTGTTTAACAAATCTTTCTTTGTCTCAGAGTTGGGCATCTATTGTCTGATGTTTCTTTCCTTCTACAAGCCTTTGTTTTACCCTTTACATTTTAGTTTATTTTCTATTTGTGCATGGGATAAGGTAGGCTGAAATTTTACTTTTATTTCAAGATAGCAGTTGCTCCAAAACCATTGTGGAAAACACCATTCTTTATGAATTAGCTTGCAATAGCATCTTTGTTATAAGTCAAGTGACCATCTATATGTCCATCTGTTTCTAGACTGGTCTGTGTCCCTATCCTTACATCAACGCTACACTGTCTTAGTTACCTTTATTATAAGTCTGGAAATCTGATCATATTTGCCCACCTTTTTTCTTCTTCCAAATTGTCTTGGTTCTTTCAGGTCCTTAGCTTTTCCACAAGAATTTTAGAATCAACTTGTCAAATTATGCACACAATCCCTGGTGGGATTTTGATTGAAATTGCCTTATAGCTATAGATCAATTTGGTGAGAATCAACACCTTAACAATACTGTCCTCCAATAATTTTACATTTTATATCTATTTATTTTGGTCTTCTTTAATGTCACTCAGAAATACTTTATAGTTTTCAGTGAATAGATCTTGCTTATGTTTTGTTGTATTACACTTAAATTTTTGATGTTTTCATTTTATTGTAAATAGCACTTTAACTTCATTTTTAATCTTATTGCTAGTATACAAAAATATAATTAATTTTAGATTAACCTTATATCAACATCAAAATAAAACTTATTTCAATATATTGTTCTTATATTCCATATTCTTTTAATTGCTAAATTCACTTATTAATTTTTATAGCTTGTATAGGCCAGGCACAGTGGCTTACGCCTGTAATCCCAGCACTTTGGGGAGATTGAGGCAGGCAGATCACGAGGTCAAGAGATTGAGACCATCCTGACCAACATGGTGAAACTCTGTCTCTACTAAAAATACAAAAATTAGTTGGATGTGGCAGCACATGCCTGTAGTCCCAGCTACTCAGGAGGCTGAGGCAGGAGAATCGCTTGAACCTGGGAGGCGGAGGTTGCAGTGAGCCAAGATCGTGCCACTACACTCCAGCCTGGCAACAGAGCAAGGTTCCATCTCAAAAACAAAGCAAAAAAAAAAGCTTGTATATTCTTTGATATTTTTAAGGTACAGAATATATGCAATTAAAGACAATTTTACTTTTTCTTTTCTAATGTTTAACATCTACATAAACTTTTTATGCCCTATTGCTCTAGCTAGGACCTTTCATAAAAGTGATGACACTGAACATCATTGTCTTGCTCTCAAATTTGGAGGATGGGGCATTTTCATATTGTTATGTATGATGTTAATTGTAAACATGGTAATAATTAACAGCATGTCTTAGTCGTAACTTCAGAGGGAAAGCACTCTTACTAATAAGTATGATGCTAACCATGGGTGTATGGGGAGGAAAAATAAGCTCCCTTCTACCCTTCTAAAATGTTTGGCTGGGGCTTCTGAAACAAAATACAGACTAACAAGAGAAAACCAAACAAGTTTGTTAACATGTATATCTTACATATGCCTAGAGGATACCCAGAAAATAAGTAATTCTCACAGAGATAGCTTCAAACTCCAGCTTATACATCTTCAACAAAAAATAATAAACTTTTAGAGAAGTGACAAGACAAAAGGACTTTGAGTCTCCTACAATTTAGGAAATTGTAGGAAGGCAAATATACAGGAAACTAATGGTAGATAAATGCTAGTTGTGTTATGTAGACGTTCTGCTGCTGTCTCCAGTCTGATAAGGGTCTAAAGTCATTTCTATCTGGTGATTTGCTTTTGGTGTTCTTGGTTGAGAGGGGAGGGGAGACTTTCATGTATATTTATTCCCTGCTTTTAGGAAAATAGGGAAAGGACAGAGAGTTTTTCTTGTATCTGCTTTTCCCCAATTGTCTTTAGCTCAAAATAAGCCTTATGCCAAAGTGGCATATTTTGGGGAGATATTTCTAATCTTTATATTTAAAAGCTTCCGTCTTCTGTTAGATTACTAAGAAACATATAACAAATGGGTGCTAAATTTTGTCAATTTTTTTGCATCTACTGAAATGACTGTTTTTTTTCTTTCATTTGATTAATATAGCAAATTACCTTGAGTGACTTTTGAATGTTAAACCAACCTTACATTTCTCAAATAAACTCCATTTGGTCATGGTGTAATATTTTTATTATCACTGCATTTGATTTGATGATATTTTGTTTAGTATTTTTGTGTTTGTGTTCATGAGAGAGATTAGCATTTAATATTTCTTTCTTCTAGTGTCCCTGTCAAGTTTTTGTATCAGGATTTACTGGCCTCATAAAATAGGCTGAGAAGTATTCTCTCACTTATCTTTTCTGGAATAGTTTGTGTAGATTAGTATTCTTTCTTCCTTTCTTAAAGATTTAAAACTTAAATCAGTATATCTCCTCTATTTGCTTTTTACATTTCCCTTTTTCTATTTTTATAATATTTGGATACTCCAGAGATTTTACCGTGCAACTCTAGCAACTTTAAGTTAACCTTATTACTCTTATTACTTCCCAAACAATGCAAAAACCTTGCAAAAATTTAACTACATTCGACTCTTCCTGACTTCTGTGCTACTGTTTTCATATATTTTACTTAATGTATAACACTATAAACCCTTAAAAGTCAATATCCTCCTATATTGAATTGCATATGTCCCATTTCTGGTGATCTTCATTCCTTCCTGAAGTTCTGTGCTTCTGAGATCCTTTTATTTCAGCTAGTACAATTCCTTTTAGTATTTCTTGTAGTGCAGGCCTACTAGGGACTGATATGCTCAGCTTTTGTTTGACTTATAAAATGTCTTTATTTTATCACTATTTTTGAAGGATATTTTTCACTGTGTGTGAATTCATAGATAAAAGTCTCTTTTTTTCATCATTCTGAAGGTGTCATTCTATTGTCTTCTTGCTTCCATAGTTTCAGTTGAAAAATCTGCAATTGATTTTTTTTTATCAATTCTTTGAAAATGTTTTTTTCTTTTGCTGTTTTTAGCATTTTTCTCTTTACCTTTTCAATCAGAGCGTAATTATAATGTTTCTGAAGGAGTTTAGAACATGTCACTGCAAAATATGCTATTTGGGCATATTGATTATTTGAGCTAAAAGAAATTGACAAACAGCCAATGCTTAAAAAAATCTTTACCTCCCTTTCAGCGGCTTAAGACAAAGTATAAATTTACCCTTTTATAAGAAAAATTTGATTTTTAAAGATAATTTTTATTGGCAAAAATATCTATACTAGGAAGAGAGTTACTCTGAGACAACTTTTATCACCTAAGAGATGTTTATCTGCATAACAAGGTAATTTTTATTTACCATATATTTCCTCCCTTCACTTTCCCATAATTTGTCTCCACCACTCTCCAGAAACTTTAATCCTCTATTCCTTTCTCTAGCATGGTGGTGGACACCTGTAATCCTTAGAACATTAAAGTCTCAGTCATCTGATAAGTCTCAGTCCTCTGACCACCTTCTTTAGTCTCATATTTTTGTGGGTCTCCTGTGTATACATAATTAAAGTTACTTTTCTCCTGTTAATCTATCTTATGTCAATTTAATGTGAAGACCAGCCAAAGAACCTAGAAGGATAGAAGAAAGCATTTTTTTCTCCCCTGTATTCTTTTTTTTGTTTGTTTTTTGGTATTTTTTTGAGATGTAGTCTCACTGTGTCACCCAGGCTGGAGTGCGGTGGCACCATCTCGGCTCACTGCAACCTCCACCT